ATCTTGAAAAGTCTCCAGAAATCCTGAGGATAGTGGACAACAGATAAACGCAGTCATTTACTGCCAAAGGGGACAGACTTCATTAACTTTGGTTTTGCAAGTCTCTGCACCTATTTAGAATATAATGCTTTTATTGCATTTGGTAATGCATTTAGTGATCCAAAGCAAAATTAAGTGAATGGAAGGACTCCCAGAGGTTTCCGTTAGCTTTGAATGAGACTTTTTTCCTGCACAAATTGCTCCCTGGGGAAGGAACACCCATTCATTAAGCACTGAGCATTAAAGTAACACAATATGAGTGCTATGCAACTGTGTAAAATACTGTTGCTATCACTTATTTGACTTAAAGTGTCCTCAAATGTTTTACTTTATGGCATTAAAAGTAATTAATGTTCTTGGACTGTTGTTGCTAAGGTTTGGTTTATGTAAGTGTTTTAAGAAGAAAGCAATTTGAAAAATACCCAATTACTAGCACAGCAGAGAACTCATTATTCTTTCAAATGCCTCTTTTGAAAATGCTTTAAAACTTTTCATTCTGTTGATTCAACAAAGGGGAAGCTATTTAAAAATAAATAGAATAGCAATAGAATAGTCATTCAATGCTCTGAAGAAAGGAACTGTTTTCTAACACTTCTCAACAATTCTGCACTATTGTACCTTGATGTCCTCCTCTTTACTCCCCCAGCTTACACACAGCTGGGACCATAAAATATGTAGAGGCATATTTGATGTCTCTGTGTCCCTTATGAGGCCCAAACATTCCTTAGTCCATATTTGGATAAATACATACTGATAGTTTTGTGCCGTGGGTCCAGAAGGCATTGGACTTAAATACGTGAGGAGTATTGCATTGATGAATGGTGGGTTATGTCAGATTCCTGATTCATGTGCCATAGAGTTTCTCTGCATAGATGAAATCCAGCAACCCCTAGGTGCAAGAGAGCTCCTGGGCTCATGTACAGGACTTGCATAGAAAGCTCCAGGTTTCCTGAGGGTTTGATTGTGGATGTGTGGTCATGCTGAGCTCCCAGCTGGCAACCAGGATTTCTGCTCAGGGGGACGATCGGCAAGGGCTACTGGCGTAGCTGGGTGCACAGACATTTTTCGAGCCAAAGATTCTAAGTAGAAAATTATGACATGACCATAGGAATGTGGATATAAGGTATCAGATGTGGATAAGACTTGCACATGTGACCATGTGAGAAGGGGAACTGATCACAGGACCCCTTCTATTTTGGATCTTGAACAACCCAGCAAGATTAGCAGAACTGGAGGGAGGGTATTCAACCCCAGCTTTCTGGATGAGTTCCTTACCACCCTGTAATGCAGCCACTAAGGGCAACTGTGGTCACAGGATCCCTCACTAGTCCTCTGTAACAAACATGAGATAACTTCATCAGTATAAAAGAGGTTGAGTTCCTGGTGAGTATTTCTTTGCAGATATTCCCTAAACAGAAAATCATTATGTCATGAAGGAAGCAGGACATGTTATTGCTTGGCTTATGCTAAAAGTGTAGAGGAAGAGAACCTTTCTGCTTTCTGAAACAAGCACTGCAGGTCTCCCTTCCTAGAATGGTAGCTTTGATTGGATGTAAACTCTCTCATGGTTTACTACCTTTTGCAACAAAGAAAGCAACTTTGTAGAAGAATAAGGGGAAAAATGCATATTGTTTTCTTTATTAGCATGTTGCTGATATTGGAATTTGACCCTATATTCTTAGCCAGAATTTAAAAATGCCATGAAGATGATAATTCCACAAAAATACTACAAAAATTTACCAAAGAAACATAATTACACTTCATTTGGAAGAGGCTTTCTAGATGTTTCTTTTATGTGCAGCAAACACGAGCATCGTCTGGAATTAATTGCATTCTTTCATTTCCTTTTCTCTCTTTTTCATCTTTTCTTTTCAGCAATCTCAAGCTTATGTTTAATTTTCAAAAACTGAATGCCTAATGTCTGTGTTGCCGTGACCTACCATTATTAAATCTGTGTATCAAAATGAATATTAGTTATTAAGATGGAAAAGAGCAGTCTAAAGCACACAGAACTCTGTCATGTAATCTTATACGAGGGTTGAGACCAGTATGTAGGTAATCACTTCTAAGCAGTACCACTTTCATCATTTTGATAGTAACTTGGAAACTGACAAAAAAACCTAACCAGGAATCTTCTCATCACAATTCTTCTTTGCCTTTTTTAGGTAAAGAAATTATTCCTTTTAAAGTTGGTGAGCTTTGATGCTTTGTTTTTTGTTTTTGTTTTTGGTTTTTTTTTTTTTTTTTGTGGTAAAGCTCTACTGACATAGAGAAAAATAAGAATAAATTCTTGACATGAAACAGTGGTTAAATTAAAGGTAAAGTTAAGTTGTATATATTTGTGTTAATAAGAATTGGACACAAAGAAGGATGGGGGAAAATATAACTCTTTTATTCAAATCTAGACTGCTTTCAAGAAGCAAAGTTACATCTGTTTTTTCAGTACTTTTGCAAAAATAACCCTCCTGTCATGTCTTATTCTGTTAGATATTCATGCTTGGAGCAATTTTTAAATGAATGTTTTATTGACAGCCTAACTTCCTGTGTCTTGGCAATATGTAGACAGGACTTAGTAAAACATTGCTTTTAAAGAGCCATTTTGGGACTTCAGATTTAACACTGATTTGATTCAATTCTTGTCATATTTTTATTTCTAAGTGCATTTCAGCTGGACAGTTTTTATTAAGAAATACAATTTTGATATTAAGTTACAGATGAGGTTTTAAAACAACTAGGTGCCAGCAACAGCAAGAAAAGCTTGCTGCTTCTTTGCGTAAGGAATCAGACACTGGTGATATGAGACCTGTATGGCTATACCGCTGCATGTGCACGCAAAGCCTGTTTTGAAGCACTTTGGTTTTGGTCAATCCCATGTTTCTTTACAGGATGACCTGAGTCATCCAAGATCGGAGTCAGCTGGCAGATATGCTAGCTTTTACTTACAATCACATTTTTAAGTCAACAGGCACACCTTCAAAAGCCCCCATGAGGATGCAGAGACCAAAGCTGTATAGTACAGCTCAGCTGAGTTACACAGTGGAATTGCAACAACCAGGCATAGCCTGACTGAAATAAGTGTGCTGAGCTCTTTGGTGCGGTACTTTGCCTTCGTGCCTGTCTTCTAGCAAAGGAACACAGCAGAAAACACTAGGAGAGGATAGAGTAGGGCCAGAGAATCACCATTCTCTGATAGCTGCTGAGATAAATTTATTTAATCCTGAAGCTGGAGGAGAACCTCTCAGAGAATAAAATTGCCATGGTCAAAATACTCTGGATCTAACCATTTCTTCCATTCAGCAGAAGATCAGAAAATTGTACAGCAAATACTTTTCTACTCAAACAAGGCAGAATACAAAAGGGAGAAACATTTTGGCCGGATCAAAGGCATATGATAAAAAGCCTTTATAAAGCGTTAACATTTTGGGCATGCTAACACTGCAGAGCTTCTTGGCAGGGTGTGTTTGCCCAGTTGGAAATGTGGGTGGAAATCTCCGCTACAGTGATTGTACCACCTCTAATGCTCAAGCCAGTTAATTTGGAAGAAACTTGGAATATATCAGCATGGAATCATGTTGTACCATCTAGACACGGTCCTTGGTGACTCCAAATTTGCTATCTACAGAGCCTGTGCATTCCTTGCCAAGATTATCTCTTTGTTGACTTTCTTTTCAGAGTGTTCATTTGGTAATATTGACTGAATTGTCTGAACAAATGTTTAACTAATTATCTATTTTAAATTCCGAGCTAATATATGAAAGGCTTTCAGTTTGTGTGGAAAATTATATACATCTCCAAGTGAACAACTGAAGTTGAACCAACTGTTGCAGTCACCAGATTTTTCAGTGATGCTTTCTCGTTACCAACAGAAGAGTAACACAATCTGTGCCGTTTTTTAAGTTGTCCTGTATATGCTCCATTTGAACAAATTACAGTATTTGGAGTGAGACTAAATGAGGGTAAAGCAGAACAAAATACAGCGTGCTTTTTGGAATGGATCATGATCTGTACACGCAGTCAAAATTTGTGCTTTTGTTGTTGCTAGAGCAGTTTTACGATCCTGGTCCCTGGGATGCTGGACTACTGTAAAGAAGGCTTCAGGGAGAATATCTCGTGACTCCTTAGAGTATTGTAAACTGATCTGCCTCTGAGCTCTCTTCCAGAAAATTGTACAAAGTCTGAGTATGCACATGAAATTCTGCTGGGAATGTTATCAGCAGAAGCATTCAGGCTGTGCCCATGCTAAAAAGAGCTGTCTGCCTGACTAAACAAAAGATCCAGTCTGTAATCTATAAACCCACCTACAGCATCTGACCTGGTTTAAAAAGACCACAAAATTCGAGTGAGGGGATATTTTTGTGCGTAGTTGGGATGGAAGTCTGCAGATGACACTTGAATGAGAACATGGAAAAAATCCGCCATGAAACAGACATAAGCATCACCTCACTAGAGAAGATTCTTCAGATAAACCTTCTAGGTGTATACATTATACATACATATTTTATATATACATATATTTATGTATATTTATTTTTCCACTGGGCTAAATGCTGTATCTAGAAACATCAAGATATTTGAGCCTAGCAATCCAGAAAAGACCATATAGAGTTTATAAAGTCCCTAATCAGACAGAACATCCCATTTTCATGAAAGTGCTTTCAGAAAGCCGGTTAGGTACCTAAATGCTTCAGCAAAATCTGGCTTCTAGATGCTGAAAACTAAGTATGAAAACCAGTAAAAACTCACTAAAAATGCACACCTGTACCCTCCAGCCACCCCACAAAACAGCAGAAACCTGCCTTAATCCAAACGCAAAGGTATTGCAACAGTTTAACACCACAGTGCTGCCGCTTTCTCCTGCATTCTTATCAGTTGCATATTTACACAGATCTTTCAGAAACTTCAAAATTAGTACAGATATTTCTTCTTAATAACAAATTAGTGGTACAAAATTATTTCCTTACTTTTGGGAGGGAAGCTCTCGATCCTGAACTTTGCGTGGTCATTGTCAAAACTGTAGTGATACCCAGTGCAACTCTAGCTGGAGCAGCATCCATGTTGATCCAGAAAGAAACCCAGGACAAAATGACAATCAGCAGGCTAGGAATGTACATCTGGATTAAATAGTATCCCATCTGACGCTCCAAATGAAACTTGACTTCAATGCATGTAAACTTTCCTAGAACATGAAATTACTTTCATAAATGCTTTTTGCACATTTTTATCTTGTTTTCTGAACATAAGTTAGATGTATGGCCTGTTTCCTAATGTTACACAATAAGCACGTTCTGATACACAAATGTGAGTCAGCCATTTGTTGCATACTAGCTTGGGAGACACATGGGACTCTTGGCTCAGATTAACTGAGAAAACAAGCAATACTAGCATGGTTGTTTCACCACTGAAAAATATAATGTACTGTTTCTTTTCTCAAATTTTAATAGATTTTGCTTTAGTCAAATATGATGTTTAGTATTAAAAGGGGACAACATTTTGCTCTTTTAGTTATATAACATTAAGCAAAGGTACTTAAACAGACAAATTGTAAAGAATTAGTCTTGCAGTCCTGTGGTAGGTCACACCCCTTCTCATTCTGGTCGTGTCATTTGCCTGTGGCTGTGGATTGTTTCACACAGCAGAATCAACTCAAAGCCTACTTTGAATTTTTGCCAGAAGTTTAACTCCAGGAAACACACAACCGTCTCTTGTGGGAGGTGAGTGATTCTTCAAACAAGAGATAGCTGCTCCAGAGGGGCAGCGGAGGACAGAAGTTAGGATTGACTGATGGTGGAGCTAGTCATGCAGCAGGAGATGCAAAGTCCTGAGTTGCAACAGTTGGTCAGGTACTAATTCAATCACTCTGCGCTGCTCTCCCAATTACTGTGTATCCTGACCGTGGTTTAGGTATTGTGAAGGCTCTCACTCAAGGCAGACTAATCCCGGTACAGAAATGTCTAATGGTTCCAAAGGATCCCTTTTGTGTTTGTTGGTCAAACGCATGAAGACGTATTATTCGTTGTTCATCCTTTCAGGTGAAATTAGGTTTTTTTGCTCCTTTTTGTGATGCATGTGTATTTTTTTGCTACTCTAGAAAGCTGAATGGCAGGGTGCAAGATCTGGCACAAAGCACAATGCAGAGGCTGTTTGGCAAAGAGAGGAGGGGAGAAGAACCGAGTAATATCTTTTGGCAGGTCAGAAGCTCATATACGAGTGGCCTGGCCTGTTGAGTGGCCTGACCTGTGACCCTGAAGGGTAGTGAGACTGGGTAGTGGCTGATCCTGACTAGTCTGCCCATACAGAGGGGGACTCAAAAAGTGTGGGGTGGCCACATGTGGCAGCAATGGCATTAGAGTAGTCCAGTCTGTCCCATGCTCTCCAGATTCCTGCAGTGCAGCCTGGACAGAGCACCTTGCAGTGTGGATTGGCAGAGAAGGCTGAGTAATACAGCTTTTAGACACATTTTAATTTCACAGCAAACCTGAAGGAGCATGCCACATGGAGGACAGCAATGTGGGTGCCTGCAGGCAATGTTTTCTTTTGCTTGAATACTGCTTTTCAGTTCCCCTGGCCAGGCCACATGCTTTTAACTTTTGGTAATCAGACATTCACTGTGTTTAACTACATGTAATGGAGCTGCTAATTGGCATTTTTAGCCTTTGCAGGGAATCTTCATGGGTATACAAGGAAGCTATTGCTCATGGTCTCTCCGGTCTCTTACTTTCAGTGTTTGACCCTGCAAAATGGTATCTGACAGTAATTAGAAAAGCAGATGAACTAACTTATTCTGAGTTTGAATTACGTGCTGGGAAATGGCTAAACTTTGTAGCAGCCAAATTACAAATAGGTAAGCTCTGTCTATTGGGATTTACTCTTGATTATCCCCTTTAAGTGTGAGAAAAGATGAAAAGTCACAGCAGTCCCCCTTTCCAAGGGTCTTGGACTGTGGAACTTCAAAGTTTTCCTTCCTTGACACTTTGAGCCCCAAAACAAGAAAATGCATTTGTAAAAATTCAAACTATTAATCTTCTTTTCATAGGAAATTAATGTGACTTATTTTTGGCAGAGACAGAACCTCTCATGTTGTGTTATTTCACAGAGTGAAACAAATGTATTTGATGCAACCAGATTGTCTCTTGTGCTGAAATTATGAAAAAGCTATGTTAAATGAGAGGGATTATACCTAATCCCAGCAAGCACCCAGCAAACCGTTCTCTAAATACTGTCCCTATTAAATAAACTCCAAGCAGGTAAATCCCAAATTTAGCAGACTTCTCTCTGGTCTGCAGTGCTGAAGATTGACAACACAACATTTGAAACTTCACAGTAGCAAATATCGGAAAAAATTACAGTATTAAGCAAATATTTAATTTCCCAGCATTTCATGTCTGTACACTATTCAGATCAGCAGTGAAAGCACCGTCTTTTCAAACACTACATTTCATAAATTACACCATACATAAAAGCTGGGGAAAATTTGATATTTTTCCTCATTGGCATTTTGATATGCTGAAGAAATAAATCAAGTTCAGAAAAATCAGTACTTTAAAAGTGCTGAGTCTACATTTCAGAAAATATTCAATTTGTTTAAAAAGTTTAATTTTAGTGAAAACAAAACAACTAGATTTTTAAATCAGTTTTTTAAGATTTTAAATGCCTTAATGATTATATATAGTATATATAGTATATATATACACATATACTAGAATATCTTTAATGAAATTAAAGGATAGTTGGAAATAAAATCTTTCAAACAAAAATAAAAGAGAGAAAATTTCATTTTTTCAGATTTAAAAATGTGTGGCTTTTAATTTCTTTTTTTTTTTTTTTATTTTACCCATCTTTTCCCTTTGCAAATTGACAATAGACATCATTAGATCAATTAATATAAAAAAATAGAATAATGCTCACCAGTATTGTAATGTTTTGTGCAATAACCAAGTTCTTTATCTTCTTTCAAAATAAATTGTGGCAAGGTTAAACCCTCTGCAACTTGCACAGGTCCGTCACTTAGCCACTCAAATATCAGATCATTCATAGTGTAGCCAACTACAACAAAGAAATCAGAGTTTGTTAGATGGTAACTGACTGGAAAACATCAAAAGCAAATGCTATTACATCTGAGAAACATGTCTTTTATTGCAATATATGTTATCTCAGCTACATTTTTACACTGTCTGATTAACAACAGCACTATTGCTGTTAGTTACCAGTTACTCTTGCTGCACTATTGCTCTATTAAGAGCAACAAGTAACACCGTTATGTTCTGAAATACTTCCCTGGTTTGCCACTACAAATTAATTTCTCTGGCCCACCAAAGATGCTGTCTACAACTGAAATAGCATTTCTCTGTTCCTATATATCAGTCTGGATTTGCTTTACTTTCGTGATTCTTTGATGATGCAGTTGGTGGGCACCAACAAAACAAGTATATCTAGACTGCAGAATGCTGGGCCCTTACCAAAAAAGAAAATTTCAGCTTTTGTAACCTGTGAACCTACCACTGAGGGGTGTGGGGTGGGGAAGGAGAGAGGCTTTGACTCACTGACGTGTCTTTTGACTGTAATGGCTACATCTCTATGGTCAAATTAAACAAGCTGTGTGCTTATACACTTAAACAAGGTGTGTGCTGACAGCTACGTGGTGCAGACAAGTGTGTGCTGGTACCCCAGTGCACGCCTTAGGCATCTTATCTTACTATCGTAAGTGTACCTATAGGACCTCTGTTTCATCAGGTATGTTGCTTCCACTTTTCAAAAGACCATAGCATGTCTTGATCAGACATGGCTAATTCCTGGCTGTGTACTAGTTGCTCTTACTTCCTGAGATTTGATTTGTCCTGCACAGCTTTACTGTGGTTATCCCTGGAAGTGACTCAGCCCTGATGGGTGAGGTGGTGTGCCCCAGGAGGAGGAAAGGGAAGGGAGCAGGAACAGCACAGGGACAGGGAACCCACATGGTACAGTGATGGACAAGTAAAGCCCTGTTTCCCCATGATTTTCCCTTACAAAATAGGAATATTGAGTCTCACCACACAAATATGACAATGCAGATACTATCTAACCACCAAATGTTATTGTAAAAATCTTGTTCTTTGATAGACAAAGCAATTAGACACTCACAGCTCTCTAGCTGCATTGTACATGTCTGTACATCCATAGGAAAATTCTTCAAGTCCATGGGACAGGATAAGGTTAAAGTAAGCCTAAAATCAGAGGGGGAAAAAAGAAAGAAGCTATTGTTAGAGATCTACAGGTTTTACCCAAGCCCCATATTTGGAATTGAAAGGATCAAGACCAAACCTCAGACGTTGGACCCCCTCTCCCCTTTTAAGACCATAAGAGCTGTGATGACAGGGCATGTAAGCAAACCAGGTGCTTACTGGCTGCATTGGTTGAGAATAGGGACAGAAAAGACAGCATCAAGATAGCCAGAAACGCCCTCCACTAATGTACCAGTCAATGTTTTACGTATAATACTGAATCCAAATAATGCAAAAGCTGAAATGACTGATCATGAGACACATTTTTAAGATTTGTTTTTGAAAAGCAAAGAAATAAAACAAGAACCACGGGGTTTTTTTCAACAGAGAGTGCTTTTGTTGTGTGTGAGGCCCATTTCCAACCCTTCATTTCTCCTGCTTAGCCATTAAAAGAAAAAAAAAAAAAAAAAGTAATACAATGAAAGCTGGAATCTCATAGCATTAAAAGATAAAGAGTGCAGATAGAAGAAAGTAAGCCTAAAGGAACATTATCATACAAACTAAATATCTCTTTTAATTTTTCAGTTGTTATTGTCCCAGATAAAGCATAATTTTACTTGTATGAGCATATTCTTAATGTTTCTTTCTTTTTTTTTTTTTAGCTCAGTTTACTTTTTTATGTTTGATTGAAATTCAAGTCTTCTCCTCTGCTTTATTTCTTTTCTTGTTTGTATGGGGAGAAGAAACCATTTTTAACAAGTCAAGATAAAGGGATGACATCATTACAAACAACTGTTTTGAAAAACAGAAGAATTGTTAAGATTTTGGTTTAAATCCTATAAAAAGAGTACATTTTTATTTCAGATTACCTTCGGCACAAAAAACCCACTTTGACACAAAGCAAGCAAATAAATAAAAACCTGACTAATTGTGGCGAAATCAGGGCATGAAAGAGGGTCTGAATGAGATGCTGGTTGAAGAAATCCCAGCAGTGATTGTTGCATTTTGAAGACATTTACCATCAAGGACAAGAACTAGACTGTCTGATTTGAAGGAACACTGAAACATTAACACAGTACAATGAGAATATTTTTTTAATTGTGCCAGTGAACCCACCAGCCAACTGCTAACCTTGGAAGTCTGTTGTCCCACAGACAAATATGACATCTGTGGGTAAACACTTCACTGAGCTTTGACTCCTGTGGTGATTTTGTGCTTCCTCACCACATACAGTTGATTCAAGCTCTTTGAGACTGTTTCACCATGTGAATTTTTGGGGATGGCGTGACTGGGCCTTCTAGCCCTACTACACTGCCATCAAATCACTATGACAATAAGATGATATTTAGGTTACTAAGAGCAAAATGGTCTTAGCCTGATAAAAAAATCACATTCACCATCACTACTTTTGCTAACTCATGGGCTACCTAGAGAAAGCCACACTATTTTCCTCTTGACACAGCCTTCAGTGTACAAGATGATAATATCAGGAAATTAGAGATCAGTTGTCTGTGGCAGTGAAGTGCACTGAGATGAAGAAAAGCCCCCAGCAGTCCTGCAACACAATCATAGTAAATAAACTCCCATTTAACCTTTGGGAGCAAATAGCATAAGCTAATTGTCATCTAGAGAAAAAAAGTGTATCTAGTAGACATCTAAATGTCATTGAAATCTGCCCTTTACTGATTTAAATATTTTAAGTGCCCTGCAAATGTTAACTAGTCTCATTTTTACTGGGTAATTTCCTGCATTGAAGATTGATCTAATTAAGTTGCTAATACCCAGTAATAACAAAAGACTGCTCTGCCTCTTTTTCTGAAATGCTGGTATATCAAACTCTCTTCTTCTTTTCAATAATCTTCTAAATATGGCTTAGATGTTTCAAGTTCATTTAAAATATGCCTTTATGCAAATATAGTCTTTCTAAATATGTCATTTTTTTGTATTAATTGAAGTAGGTACGGTCTATCCACCCCTCAGATTTTACTGTCAGGTGTTGATTGCATGCTGACTTTTTATTTCCTTCCACCTTCACCCCCTTGTACTCCCCAAAACCCTCAGAGGATCTGGGGGTTTGTCTACATACATGGACAGAGGGGTGTCTTTTATTAGTCTAATACCAAACTCATGAGAAAGAGAATACATCCAGTTGCAACTTCCAAGCCTGCCAAGGAAAAATTGATCTGTCACCACTGATGCTAAGGAGATATACCTTTTTTTAGTTATTATTTTGGAGGTCAGCTGAGAAAATGCTCATTATGTTGGTTCACACAAAGGTTGACATCTCTTCTTTCTCTTCCTAACCAGCTGTGTCATTCAGGAAGACTAAATTATTCTCTGTTCACCCTGACAAATGCAAAATAATTTCTATTCATTGTATTGATGAGGCTAGCTCGAGAGATCATGCCCTTATGTCTTTACCTCTACTTGTTGTTCATCTCAGCAGAGTAGTCATTCATAGTTAATACCTTTGTTTCTGTAATCCCTTTTACTAGGAGTAATGCAAGTGTTGAACCCAACGCTTGTTGCCTGGTATCATCCACAGATCCATTGATTTTCAATAAGATTAATACATGCTAAATGGTCAGCTGCTGGAGTCTGAAGTAGCTCCACTGAAGTCCACAGTGGTGGATCAATCTATAGCAGTTGTCTCCTTTCCAGTAAAAAATATGATCCTGCAAGTGTTTCCAAACTCAGATGCCACGTCACTACTTGTGTATTTACATTAATAAGGAAACAGGGTCAGAAATGGTAAGCATCAGCCAGATATAGGTACCCACATTGCCTATAATAACAGTGTAATTGACAAAAAATGTTTCAGAAAACTGAATGTTTCACACTTGGCAAATTCAAGAAGGGCCCTGAAGATTTAGTGCAAAGTGCAAGTTTAACTGGCAATTTCATTGATGAATACTTTAATCGTCAACAAAACAGAATAAACTGCTATAGAACAATCATTTTATTTTTCAGGCACCCCGCCACCAAGGCATTTGAAATGTATAAACAACAGATTTGGTGATGTAGCACCGTGAAACACTGATGGAAAAAGTTTTATGAACAATCCGTAAAGCTGAAAGGAGAATAAGCTGACCAAGGACTTGATTTTGTCTTCAGTTACCTGAGAACTGTTTACCCCCTGTTAGCCAGGCTCAGGTCACACAGCTTACTCAGGAAGAGCTCTGGGGTTGGTCATGTCATATTTTCCACCTGAGCAGACAGGGATCATAAGGGAGAAGGAGAGAATCACGTCTCCAGCACCTCATCACTTCAGGCAGAATGCCAGGGCCAGCAGGTTGCCCCACAGGAGAGGCAAAGTTGGCCTCTTTTTTCCCTCCCCGCTTCTGTGGAGGACTATTTGTGCGGTTTTGCAGAGACTGCAAATTGACTGTCCAGGCTCTGATGACTCGTGGTGTCTCAAAACATTCCAGTTGTAGACAAGAAGATGGCGAGGAATGCGCCAAAGGCCTTACTCCCCTTACTAACAATGGACTCAATCCTCGAGGCTCTGATAAGGTGAAGCCTTGTGATGTCCAGTTGTAGATAAGAAGATGGCGAGGAATGTGCCGAAGGCCTTACTCCATGGACTGGCAAACCCCTGCTGAGTAAGGCCATCAATGATGGACAGCAAATCCCTGCTGAATCTAACAATGGACTCAGTCTTGCTCTTACAACAAAGTAACAAATACGTGTCAAGTAAGGCATTGCCTCTGCCTATAAAAGGTGAACAAGCAAAATAGGGTTTGGGGGCTCATCACCTGAAGACTCCTGAGATGCTGACCAACTGAACGAGCAACGATGAGACTCAGTCTTGCTCTTACAACAAAGTAACAAATACGTGTCAAGTAAGGCATTGCCTCTGCCTATAAAAGGTGAACAAGCAAAATAGGGTTTGGGGGCTCATCACCTGAAGACTCCTGAGATGCTGACCAACTGAACGAGCAACGATGACCCCCCTCGACGCTCATCCAGGGATCCAAGGAGTGGTGATAACTTTTCTTTCTTTTCCTCTCCTTACCTCTCTCCTCCTTTTCTCTTTCTCCCCTCCTTTTCTTTTTCTTCCTTCTTCTTTTTCCCTTGCCCCTTCTTTTCTTCTCCCCTCCTCTTTTCCCGCATCTCTCTCTCTCTCCCCCTCCTGTCTCTGCTTTCCCTCTGGCACATATGGTAACACCTTATAAGTTCTAACGCCAGCTCCCTTTTGGGGCTTGTTTAACAGGTTTTCTGTAGGTTGTTTATTTTAATACTGAAAAGTGATTGCAAGGGTTGTGAAGGGTTGCACGTTGAGTGATTGCAAGTTTTGTGAGTGGCTGCGGGTTTCTTAGTATTGTCGGATATTATGCTGTCGTTATCACATCACTGTAAGATTTGGTGGTGTTGGTGGTTGGTAGTGTCGTCATGAATTGTCTTTACTTTTCCCTAAACAATTATATGCATTAAAATTATAAGCCAGTACGCAATTCTTTGGTGCTGTCTCACCTTAATTTGCCCCAAGGGAATGTATATATAGAACGTCCGCGAACCCCACTCGTCCCACCCAGGGTGGTTCTATGAGCTGGGTTGCAACATCTTTCTCAACCATTCCTCCAGACAAGGAAGAACTGAGCCCTGGAAAAGTGTTGTTGTGGTTTTGTGTGGTGGGTTTGTTTGGCAGCAGGGGAGGGGCGAAAGTTATGGCCTTT